TCATTGCAGCCAACAAAGCTAGTTCAAGATCTGTGTGAAATATTGTGTGTTGTGGAAACGAGGGATGTTTGTATTCCCAGGTCAAATGCTCGTTCCAAAGCATAAGGAAATAAACTCATCCCATTTGAAATTCTTTGCATGGACTGCAGTTTAACAGCTTCATTTTTTTCCCTTCAGTGATCCCACTGCTGAACTGTCAGACCAAATCACTGCAAAATCAGGATCAAGACCTTTTATGGTGATATCTTGTACTATTGAGGTGCCATCTTCAGTGAGAGCGCTGGAGGCACTGCCTTCTCCACTAGAACGTCAGATCTATTCAAGCAGCACAGCTGTGTAACTCCTCTGATCTGGGGCAAAAGAGCTCATAGAAAGAGAAACACTCTAAGTCATAACGACATGTTTGTTTAAATCAAGGGAAGGCTACAAGATGTTACAGAGAAAAAACTCTTTTCTGTTTCATTTGCCAAACCTCACAGACACTACACTGACAAAAAGACAGAAACTTTGATAGCTTTCATCTGCCATCACAGAAGAGAATTACAGAATCATAGAGTATCTCGAGTTGAAAGGGACCCACAAGGATCACTGAGTCCAACTCCCTGCTCCCTTATGTAGGCAAACTCTTCTTAGGAACAGACTCCCACATTCTGAGTGTTTTTTAAGAAGTTGATTTTGATCTTTAAACTCAATTTTAGTTGTATACAAGTTTTGAAGCTACACAGACTGAGGTGCTCAGATATAGTAGAATTTTCCTCTTTATTTTCAATTTATACAGATTTCTCAAGATATATGGCTCCATTTCCTGTGACTCTGTCACAATGTAGCCGTAAGTAATCTTTCTGCCATTTGCTCAAATTCCGGTAATTGCTATTAATGCCACTCTTGTACTCAAACCAAGTAATTCTCACATCAAACAGATTGAGAAATACTCTCTTAACATTGATTAAATTTCACTGCAACATTTACGTGCACTTCAACAATACAGGCAATAAATTAATTGTGAAATTTTCTTTCTTCAAAAAGGACTGGGGTTAATTGTAGCTTCTCCTTATTCCGAAAACATTAAAATCTAGCACAACTATGCGAAGTCTGCATCCAATTCCAGTTCTGACAGGGAAGGAATTTTGCATGGGTCCCTCAATGGCTGACGAGAACAATGTCATCTTTGTTCCTACAGGAGATCCTTTATTTCCTGTTATTCTCCTTCTTTCTCGAAAGTACTCCCAGCTTTCTCGAAAGTACTTCCAGCACTTCACTGTGATTTCTAGACACAAAAAGCACATGTGGTATCTGGCTGGC